TTCGTCCGCCACACACCCCTAGCATACCGAACACGCAACTTTCCCCCTCCGGTTCATCTGTCAGAAAACACGAAACATCGGGAATACTTTCCCGGATGTTTCCCCCCCCCTTCACCGGTATCACCTACTACCGCCTTAGGGCACACCGAACATCGCGTATTGCCTTGTTATATTTTGTGATGCTTTATTTGCTCTGTATTCATTATTTCTTCCCCGTCTTCTCTCCGGTAGACTATGAGACCGACGCTGCTGTTGACCAGTTCGACTACGGAGTTGACGACTCCTCTCTCTTGCCAGAGCAACCAGGCAAGCCCCCCCTTTGATCACCAGATATCGCCTACTCTTCTCTATACTGCTTGCATTAGAGTAGTGTAGCATGTTACTGCTTTCCGTTAATCTTATTCTGATGCATAGCCTATCATTGCTGCTACAGTCATTGATACCTTACCTGCAATCCTAAAAGCTTAGTATAGGATGCTAGTGTTCCATCAGTGACCCTACACTCTTGTCCGTCTGCCATGCTATACTACTGGGCTGTGATCACTTCGGGAGGTGATCACGGGCATATACTATATACTTTACACTGTTACATTACCTGTGATACTGTTCGGAGTTGGGGGCTGAAGGGGCAGGTGGCTCCATCCCAGTAGAGGTGGGCCTGGGTTCCCAACGGCCCCTGACTGTTACTTGGCGGCGGAGCGACAGGGCAGGTTGAGACCACCTAGGAGACAGGTGGGCCTGGCCCTGTTCGGCGTTCGCGGATACTTAACACGCTTAACGAGATCTTGGTATTTGATCTGAGTTGGCTACGAGCCTATACGCACTAACCATCTACGCGGGAGTAGTTATGGGTATCCCGACGTCGTGGTATCAGCCGAAGCACTTCAGACGTCAGCGACGAAGCGGCGCGCGCCGGATTGGAACGTAAGCCTGCTCTTGTATTAAGGGGGCTAGTTCTGCTTCCGGCCGCCCTCGCAACGTGCAGGTGTGCTATGGGCGATGGGCCCAGACCCCTGTGCGCTTAGGTTTAGACCGGCGTGCTGGCCTCTCTGTTTTGCCTAGGTGGGGCTGCGACGTGTTGATCTTCCGCGGCCGGGCATGACCCAGGAAAGTGTGTCCGGCCAAATGGGATCAAGCGTGTTGGGGAATGTGGTGCACCCCTGCAGGGAAGTTAATCTATTCGAATAGCCGTGATCTTCGGTAACAGGACGACTTGGAGTTGTACCTTGACCTTATGACAACTAGAACCGGATACTTAATAAAACACACCCTTTCCAAGTTCCACAGACAACCCGGTGATCGCTTTTCTACAGGGCGACGAGAGGAGGATCGCCGGGTAGGGTTATGCTATGCGATGCTGCTTGGAGATGCTACTTGAAGATGCTACTTGGAGGACTTCAATCTACTCTCTCCTACATGCTGCAAGACGGAGGCTGCCAGAAGCGTAGTCTTCGATAGGATAGCTATCCCCCTTTTATTCTGGCATTCTGCAGTTCAGTCCACCGATATGGCCCTTTACACATATACCCATGCATATGTAGTGTAGCTCCTTGCTTGCGAGTACTTTGGATGAGTACTCACGGTTGCTTTCTCCCCCCTTTTTCCCCTTTCCTTTCTTTCTGGTTGTTGCAACCAGATGCTGGAGTCCAGGAGCCAGACGCCACCATCGACGACGACCCCTACTACACTGGAGGTGCCTACTACTACGTGCTGCCCGCTGATGACGACCTGGAGTAGTTTAGGAGGATCCCAGGCAGGAGGCCTGCGCCTCTTTCGATCTGTATCCCAGTTTGTGCTAGCCTTCTTAAGGCAAACTTGTTTAACTTATGTCTGTACTCAGATATTGTTGCTTCCGCTGACTCGTCTATGATCGAGCACTTGTATTCGAGCCCTCGAGGCCCCTGGCTTGTATTATGATGCTTGTATGACTTATTTATGTTTTAGAGTTGTGTTGTGATATCTTCCCGTGAGTCCCTGATCTTGATCGTACACGTTTGCGTGCATGATTAGTGTACGATTGAATCGGGGGCGTCACACCCACCTACGTGTAGCCGCCCATCTCCTTCCTTGCTTGCTGCCGATGTCTTTGCCAACAACCCTGTCCGCCACGATCGGCATGGATGATGCGGCGGCAGAATTGTTCGGGCACCCAACCGTGGCTGTCAGTGGAAGGCGCGTCGCCGGAAGCAATGCGAGTGTGAAGCAGAGAGAAAGGTAGCTACGGAGAGGACCAGTGCGGACATGGACGTTGATCTCGTCAATTCATCTGTTGCATGTACTATCCGATGAAACTTGTAGGACGATAGTTTAATTGTGATGCATATTGTAGGATCAAAGAATGTGTGGCATTATAAAAGATGGTAAACAGACTTTGCAATTTGACATGGGGGATACCAATTTCCCATTGTTTGAAGCTGGGCAAACATCACAGACTAAAAAAAAGAAGATACTGAAGCCAAGTGGTCCGGCGTTCACACGGTTTGAAGATGGTTTGTAGCTTGAAAGTTTGTTGAACACTATCATGGGGATCTGGTATGTGGAAATGAGCAAAAGGGCATCAAATATTGGGACAAAAATTCAAAAAATTTATCTTGAGCAAAAACACTATATGGTACCACACCCAATCGTAGCGACCATGACGCGTGCTCTCTCCAACATAGATGGTCCGCCACCCAAGAGAACGTAAGGGCATCTCCAAGGCTGACCCGCAAAAGTCTCTGGTATATGTCTATATTTGTTTCTGGACATGGTCCGCGGACATGATACGGGAGGGAGCCATCCAATGCTTTACAAAGTATCAGGCTGGGGAGGAGAAAAAATAGGTAGGAGCATGCATGTGGTGGGCTATTTATAGTGTGGTGTCCCATTTGGATGAGAGAGAGGAGTGGGGGACCATGCATGTGAAGAGAAAGAAAAGAAAGGAGGACCATGCGGAGGTTTTGGTTGGTCAAGTGTATCACTGGACTTCGGTATATCTCCCCCATATTTGTCTCCACTTTGCTGAAAAACGGATGTCTGGTGAAGGACCGCGTTGGATTGCAAAAATGAACAAAAGTGTCTGGTTGGACATGTACCGAAGTTTTATGTGTTTACCTTGGATATGCTCTAAGCAAGTTTCTTGGTTCTCTAAACCAACTCGTTAGCCGGGATCAAAGCGGCATCGGAGTACAATCTCATGCAACTTCAGGGGCGGCTTTGTGTCTTCAAGTCAAAGCCGTTTGGTTTTTTTTCTTGTTGGATGAAATTACAGGAGACACCAAAATGGCAAACCATCCTTGAGGACATCGAAAGTGATACCAAGAAAGATGAAGAAAAACAATAGTTACAACTCCAACCAATTAATTGGATTGGATGACAAAGTAGAAAATCATAATGTCATAGGCCTGTACGAGGGCACTCACAAGTCACAATTCATTGTATCTCCAGCCATATCATAATCATTAAACCTATGCTTAGATTAATCTAAATGAATTTTCACCAAAAAAAAATCTAATTGATTGCATTTTGCAATTGTATCTAAAAAGAGCACGAATTTAATGTGTTTTCTTAGAGAGAAAAATTTGACCTTTCTTGGGTTCGGCAGTAAAAGCCGCCTGTATCTGGATTAAACTACGGTAACTCTGTTTTCTCAATAAATAGGAAGCCGGATCATATTTTTGCTTAGTTGCATGAAGACAGCCGGTCTGGAAACTACTCAAATAAATACATAATGTTCAGTCCATCACGATCACAAAATTACTATCGTGAAGATCTTTGGCTTTGCAAGCATTCTGGACTAACATGTTTGATGGGATTCTAACAATTTTATTCCCAATTTTAATAACAAGGTGTTCATAAGAACTTCCAGCCCGTCTGTCCTGAAGATTTTCGGATCGCCCACATAAATCTCACCACGAAGACACCAACGTGCACAAACCATCCACAGTTGCCAGCTCTCTTCAAACGAACCGTAGCATACCCCTTACTTATTTGTTAAATATTTTTATTTAAGCATCATACTCCCTCCGTTCCTGAATATAAGTCTTTCGAGGGATTTCACTATGGACTATATATGGAGCAAAATAAGTGAATGTACATTTTAAAATTCATCCATATATATCTGTACATAGTTCATAGTGGTATCTCTATAAAGGCTTAACGGAAGAGTAGATCGGATGATAGTAGTTTTAGGTTGTTATAAATGTCTTTTTTTGAACCCTTGTCAAATGCGTCTTGCTTTCCGTACTTTCACTGGATTTTTTTTACGATATCCGTATTTTTCACTTTGAAGGAGACCGGCTTTAGCGCAACCTTTTTTTTTTCGACTCTCACCTAATCCCACCCCACTTGCACGGTCGCCGCCGGGAGTCTTCTTTCTCCTCGTCGCCCCCGGGATTCACCATCGCTCCCTCTCCTTGCCGCGCGGCCGACCTCCACCTCCCCGCCGCCGCTCCCTACTAGACAAGGCAGGTGCGGCTTGCCTGGCCCCCAAATCCGGCCGCAACCTGTCCGGATTGATCCTCTCAAGCGGACGGACGCCGGGAGATCAGCCGCTGTCCTGGTGGTCTCCTCCGCCGGTACGATTCGCAGGTGAGTCGTCCTTTGCCTCCTCGATTACCCGGCCTTGTCCGCGCCGATGCTCTCAGGCTAACCCTGTAAAATCATCACCTGTACTACTAATTCAAGATCGTCCACGCGCAGAAACTTCAGAATCCAAGCTAGTCTCGGCCCAAATCTGTCCAGATTGACCCTGCTGACGCCGGAAGACCAACCAATCGACCTCACCCTAGCCGCGGCCCTCGTCGCCTCCTGTGCCAGCGAAGCTCGCAAGCAAAGCCGCGACCAGCAGCACGTCCACGGCGGGGCACGGGGAGTCTGACTGTCTGAGTCGTCAGGTGCCTCCTCCATTAGGCGTCAGCCTAGCCCCTGTATCAGCCGTGCTAATTCAGTGCATCCGACTTCAGAAACGTTCCATCTTCAAGGCTCAAGCAAAGAACAAGCTTCAGCTGCGGCCACTCTCCATGGAAAATGCCTGCAAGAACCTCAACCAAGTCGTACGCTCGGTGCGGCTGCTCAAGATCGACGGGTTTAGCTTGACCCTGAGCCTGAGCTCTGAATATCGCTTCACATCCAGATGGAATGTCGATGGGTATGATTTGGAAGTTGGTATCTATCCTGCAGCCAACCCCTTATATCCAGATGGCAACAAGTTTGTGTCTGTGAGACTAATGTTTCTCAGTAAAGCCCGCACAGAGTGTGGTGTGCCAGTGAGCCTAGCCTGTCAGCTGGTAGATCGCAGTGGGGAGCTTGAACCATTTAAAGAGGACAGTGTGTCGGAGACCTTCTTTGCACCCCACTACTTCAAAGAACTCTTATTGGTGAATAGGAAGTCCATACCATCTGCTTATCTCCGGGATGATTCTCTGACCCTGCGATGCGCCATCACAATGCTCAAGGAATTACCAGTACAAACCATCCCAGCTGAAGAGGTGATCGCTGTACCATCCACCAATTTGCACCAGCACCTCGGCGAGCTCCTGGAGAGCGAGACGGGAGCCGATGTCACCTTTCTCGTGTGCGATGAGTCGTTTGCTGCACACAAGGACATACTTGCCGCAAGGTCTCCGGTTTTCAAGGCCCAGTTCTTTGGAGACATGAAGGAGAAGTGCTCGCAACGTGTGGAGGTGAAGGACATGGAGGTGGCTGCATTCAGGGCCATGCTGCACTTCATCTACACCGACACGGTGCCCGAGCTTGATCAACCGCTCGAGTTGGTGGCGACGCTCGCTCAGCATCTGCTTGCGGCTGCTGACTGGTACGGTCTCGATAGGCTCAAGCTGATTTGTGAAATGAAGCTCTCTGGTGGCATCACCGTCGACACTGCAGCAACAACTCTTGCTTTGGCGGAGCAGCACAATTGCTCGAAGCTCAAGGCCAAATGTGTCGAGTTCATCGTCAGCACTCCTGCAGTTCTTGATGATGTGTTGGCGACGGAGGGGTATAGGCACCTGGAGGCAAGCTGCCCTTCGGTCCTGACTGAGCTTCTCAAGTCTGTCCATGGGAGTAAGTGCTGAAGTGTAGCCATATTGCTAGACTTCCAGGATCTGACAATGCGTGTAGTCTCTGTTTGTGCTTGTGAGAAATGATTAATGCATACTAGAAACTTGTGTTTTTTTAGGGAATTACTAGAAACTTGTGTTTGCATTTACCTAATATGGAAAACTTATGTCATGTTATTAGCAACGTAATGCTTTCATCCGCCTACAGTAGTTGCAATTTAGTGACTTTCAATGTTGTACACAAGGTTTTACACAGTCCAGGGTTCGTGTATATGCTCGTTAGTCTTTTGAACTGAGTGTGCAACTGTGCATATAGATACATGATTTGATCAGCTGCAGCCACACCAATCCTGGTGTTGGGAAAACTTTTGTAGACCTTCTCACAACAAAATTAGGGACAATACTAGGACAATGCTCACTTGGGAGTTCTGATTGTGTCAGTTACAAAATTAAGATGATCTCTGTTTTGTAGGCCAAGAGTCAACTTCTGGACCAACCTATTGTTGTCTGATTTGTATAACTGTATGCTTTCCAAGGCACCCTGCAGTATCCTTGAGAATATTTGTGCAGATAACAGAGTTAGGAGATTTGAATATTCGACGATTTAGTTTTTTATTAACACAGTACTGACGCAAGCGCTCATACATATGTGCATACAGTCACCCCTATAAACGCACACACGCAGACCCTACCCCTATGAGCACCTTCGAGAGACTGAGCCGGCATATCATTTTGAGATTTATGAAGTCACCGTAGGCGCCTAGTCGTCGACGGGCACGTTTCCTCCCACTGAAAGGGCATCGTCAGAAATCCTAAAATAAATCTAAAAATAATGCGTGCACCAGGACTTGAATAATCGACGATGTAGTTTTCTGGTACTTTTAAGCACACGCGATTTGTGCCTCTTTTGTTGCCTTCTCAATGTTTTGGTGTATCTTTAGTGATCATGTCGATCTAGCAAGCCTTGACTGCTCTGTTTTTCTTGTAAAGCTTCAGGCTGCTCCAGACTGCTTCAAATTCTAAAATCTTTCTTACCAGATGTCCCTGAAAGGGCTTCAAAGCCTAAAATCATCGGGAGTGTGATCCTTTTATATCATTTTACACCTCCTGGTTGTCATGTAGAAATTTCTTCACTAATAGTTCACCTTTGATGATAATATTCTTCATATATTCCTCTTGGACATGCATCAACTTGTGGTACTATAAGCTACAAGTAACCAGCAACGTGACTGCTAAATGGGATTACGGAGTATTATATCTATATATAACACCTAAACTTGTAGTACTATATGCGACAGCTCAGGAAATCTATTTCATTCTTCCAAAATGTCTAAAAATCCACACACATGTAGCTGGTGGTGTATTTCATGCAAAGTTTTGCATTCTTGTTTAAATTTTTTTTGTCTGTTACTGGTCTCCTTGTATATGCTTATCAGTTTTCTCACCTTCAGCCACATAATCCCTGTGCGTGTTTAGGTCTTTGTACTATAAGCTTTGATGAATGCATTGTCATCTAATTTAGGAACAACATTCAGCTAAACAGGAATTATCCCTTTCTTTTCTCTTTACTTTTTCTTTCAAAAAAGTCCCGTTCTCCTCACACTTTCACTTTCCAACCATGGCCTGCCTCACGGAATCTTTCATTTTTTTCACTCCTCCCACCCAAGGATTTGGATTCCGGGTGCACTTTTTTTCTCGTGGGGCACCGAAATTCCCGGTTACCGCGTAACCGCGAAATCCCGGGAAAATTTCAGACGAAATTTAAATCTAAATTTTGAATTCAAAACTTTGAATGCTCTATAGATCGGATCTGGACTTGTTTTTACCAGCGACTCAAACCCGAGACCACAGGGAAGAATAAGGACGGCCGCGTTTACCACCAGGCCACTGCTGTTTGCTTGTTTTGTAATCAGTTCCTAACCTATTTAACCTAACTATGAGGGTTTAAATTCAAAATTTTTGAAAAAATTTGATTTTTTTGGTCGGTACGTAGGTTTCTCGTGGGGTGGCGAGAAACGCAGATACCGGGCGGTATCCGAATATTCCGCCCGGTACCCAAAACCATGCTCCCACCTAGCTAGTCACCTCCCACTCGTCTCGGTCTGCCACTTTCCTCTTCTCCCTCTTTGAGGAAAGCGGCGGCGGTCTCGGCTGTGGCTGCCTCACGGGGTGTTGGATTTGAGGAAAATAACCCCAAACAAGTCCCGCCAGAATAGCTTTAGTATTACACAAAGTTAGCATCGTTTCATGTACCAACCGCTGCAACTGATGACAAACTAGCAGCATTTCGTGATACCAAAACGCTGCTAATACTAACTATGGACTAGCAGCGCTCTATTTCGTCGAACGCGGCTAGTGTTGTCAAACTAGTGTTAGAATATATAACCATATTGTTTTCTGTATAGTTATACGGTTGTATATGTGTAGTCCTTGTATAGATGTTCACATATTGTACGATACGAACTCTGTCTTGTAACCTATATATATTGATCAATACAAGGCATCACAACGTGTGGTTTCCCTAATCTTACATGGTATCAGAGCCTAAAAGCCTAACCCTAGCCTGTGCCGCCCTCCTCCTCCTTCCGCTGCCGCCGGAGCCACCACCTCCTCTCTCGCCGTCGCGCCCGCACCGCCGCATCCATGTCGCAGCCCGACGCCGACGCGACGAACCAGGCGCTGGCCGCCGCCAAGGAGCGCCAGGACGCCGAGGCGGCCAAGGCCAAGCTGCCTCTCGCGACCGCCGCCGATGGATCCGGGACGAGCGCGGGGTCTTTCTCCTTGACCTCGCTGCACGCCCAGGCCGTCGGCCTCCACTCCATCAAAGGCCACGTTCCCGTCGAGCTCGCGCTCGACACCGGCGTTCACCGGCAGTGGCGCACCTTCTTCCGTGCCGCCTGTCGCAAGTACGCCCTCCTGGATCACCTCGACTTCGATGCTCCCGATGCGCCGAACCTGGAGTGGTCTCTCCTCGACGCCACCGTCGTCTCTTGGCTCTATGGGTCTGTCTCACTCAGTATCCTTGACGCCGTCATGACGCTCGGCGACGATCCCCTCGCCGTCGATCTATGGAACAACATCAACGGTCTCTTCAACGACCACAGGATCAATCGTCAACTCCACCTCACGGCCGAGCTCGGCGATGTCAAGATGGGAGAGATGAGTATGGCCGACTATCTTCAGAAGGTCAAGTCCCTCTCCGACGGGCTTGCGGATCTTGGTGCCCCCGTTGATGATGCTGAGATGGCGGTCCACTGCCTCAACGGCCTCTTCGAGCAATACGAGTCCGCCGCCGATCTGATCTCCCTCATGCCCGGTATGACCTTCGCGCAGTGCCGCTCGTTGCTTGCGCTCCAAGACATGAAGCACAAAAACCACCGCGCCCGCAACTCGGACATGGCCCTCTTCACCAACACCGGCAACCCTGGCAAGGCTCCTGGAAAAGGAAAGAAGAAGAAGAAGAAGGCCGCCGCTGGAGTCACCAAGGAGATCATCCCGGCGCCCGCGACCCCACAGGCTGCCACTCCTTCCTGGCCCTCACCGCAGCATCCCTGGAACAGCGCCATCCAGATGTGGCCCCATGGCCAAGGGGGGCTGCTCGGTCGCGCGCCGCCCGGCTACGCCCCTGCTCCCAGCTACGCGCCCCGGCACACCCTGTCGCCGCATGCGTTCTACGCCCAGAACTGTGACGCCCCCGATTCAATCGTACACTAATCATGCACGCAAATGTGTACGATCAAGATCAGGGACTCACGGGAAGATATCACAACACAACTCTACAAATAAAATAAGTCATACAAGCATCATAATACAAGCCAGGGGCCTCGAGGGCTCGAATACAAGTGCTCGATCATAGACGAGTCAGCGGAAGCAACAATATCTGAGTACAGAAATAAGTTAAGCAAGTTGCCATAAGATGGCTAGCACAAACTGGGGTACAGATTGAAAGAGGCGCAGGCCTCCTGCCTGGGATCCTCCTAACTACTCCTGGTCGTCGTCAGCGGGCTGCACGTAGTAGGGGCACCTCCGGTGTAGTAGGGGTCGTCGTCGACGGTGGCGACTGGCTCCTGAACTCCAGCATCTGGTTGCGACAACCAGAAAGAAAGGAAAAGGGGAAAAAAGGGGGGAGAAAGCAACCGTGAGTACTCATCCAAAGTACTCGCAAGCAAGGAACTACACTACATATGCATGGGTATATGTGTAAGGAGGCCATATCAGTGGACTGAACTGCAGAATGCCAGAATAAGAGGGGGATAGCTAATCCTGTCGAAGACTACGCTTCTCGCAGCGACCGTCTTGCATCAAGTAGAAGAGAGTAGCTTGAAGTCCTCCAAGTTGCATCTCCAAGTAGCATCTCCAAGTAACATCTCATAGCATAATCCTACCCGGCAATCCTCTCCTCGTCGCCCTGCGGAAAAGCGATCACCGGGTTGTCTGTGGAACTTGGAAGGTGTGTTTTATTAAGTATCCGGTTCTAGTTGTCATAAGGTCAAGGTACAACTCCAAGTCGTCCTGTTACCGAAGATCACGGCTATTCGAATAGATTAACTTCCCTGCAGGGGTGCACCACATAGCCCAACACGCTTGATCCCATTTGGCCGGACACACTTTCCTGGGTCATGCCCGGCCGCGGAAGATCAACACGTCGCAGCCCCACCTAGGCAAAACAGAGAGGCCAGCACGCCGGTCTAAACCTAAGCGCATAGGGGTCTGGGCCCATCGCCCTGAGCACACCTGCACGTTGCGTGGGCGGCCGAAAGCAGACCTAGCCTAGTGGCGTTCCAGTCCAATTCGGCGCGCGCCGCTCCGTCGCTGACGTCTGAAGTGCTTCGGCTGATACCACGATGTCGGGATACCCATAACTACTCCCACATAGATGGTTAGTGCGTATAGGCTCGTAGCCAGACTCAGATCAAATACCAAGATCTCGTTAAGCGTGTTAAGTGTCCGCGAACGCCGAACAGGGCCAGGCCCACCTCTCTCCTAGGCGGTCTCAACCTGCCCTGTCGCTCCGCCACAAAGATCCACACAGAGGGCCGTCGGGACAAAGGTCCTTTCAGCCCCCAATCCATGAATCACTCGCGGGTACTCTTCGAGCTGACCCGACTTTAGTCACCATCTGTATAGTATGTATGTATGTATAGTATATACCCGTGATCACCTCCCAGGTGATCACGGCCCGATAGTATAGCAAGGCAGACTGACAAGAATGTAGGGCCAATGATGATAAACTAGCATCCTATACTAAGCATTTAGGATTGCAGGTAAGGTATCAACAGGTGTAGCAACAATGTCAGGCTATGCATCAGAATAGGATCAACGGAAAGCAGTAACATGCTACACTACTCTAATGCAAGCAGTATAGAGTAGAATAGGCGATATCTGGTGATCAAGGGGGGGCTTGCCTGGTTGCTCTGGCAAGAGAGAGGGGTCGTCAACTCCGTAGTCGAACTGGTCAGCAGCAGCGTCGGTCTCGTAGTCTACCGGAGAGAAGAGGGGGAAGAAATAATGAATACGGAGCAAACAAAGCACCACAAAATATATCAAGGCAATACGCGGTGTTCGGTGTGCCCTAACGCGGTAGTAGGTGATACCGGTGAAGGGGGGAAACATCCGGGAAAGTATTCCCGGTGTTTCGTGTTTTCGGGCAAAGGAGTCGGAGGGGGAAAGTTGCGAGTTCGATAGGTTAGGGGTGTGTGGCGGACGAACGGACTGCGTATCCGGATTTGTCTCGTCGTTCTGAGCAACTTTCATGTTGAAAATATTTTAATCCGAGTTACGGATTAAAAGATATGATTTTCTAAAGATTTTATTAATTTTTAGAATTTATTTAACTATTTAATTCAAACATTATCCAGAATAGTGTATGCTGACGTCATCATGACGTCAGCATGACGTCAGCAGTCAACAGGGAGTTGACTGGGTCAATCTGACGTGTGGGTCCCGCATGTCATACACTGTTTTAGTTAACTAACAGTTAATTAGGTTAATTAGTGATTAGGTTAACCTAATTATAATTAATTAACTTAATTAATTCCTTAATTAATTAATTAATTAATTAATTTTATGATTATTATTATTATTTATTTATTTTGATATTCTCTTTTTTTTAACGTTTTGGGGCCGTGGGGCCCATCTGTCATAGGCCCCAGGGGCCTTGGCAGGTTTGGTCCAGCGGGTGCGGGCGCACCCGAGCGAGCACTCGCCCGCAGGGCGGGACGAGGCCGCCGGGGCACGGGGCCATGGGGCGCCGGCCGGAGCAGGATGCGGTGGTGGTTCGTGGCCACGGCGAGGCCACGGAGGGGCGCAAGGCGCCGGCCGGCGACAGGGGGCATGGCCAGGGCCGCAAGTACGCGGCCAGAGAGCAGCTCGGGATGGCCGGAGCGGCAGCGGGAGGCGGCTAAGCGGCACCGGACGCGGCCGGAGGTGGGAACCGGACCGGGCGACGGCGACGGGCAGGCTGGTGCGGGGCCGCGGTTGACGACGTTGGCCGGCGAGCAGGTGCAGGGGGAGGTGAAGGCGCGCGCAGGCTACAGCAGGCGCAACTTCGGGTAGGGCGAGCGCGAGCTCGGTCGCGGGGGGTTCGGCGGAGCGCGTGCGTTCGGTGACGAGGGGAAGAGAAGAGGCTGGGGGCCTCACCGAGCAACGTAGGGCACAGGGCAGTGGGGGTCGAGGAGGAGGACGGGGACGGCGACGTGGTGGTGGCGACGGGCGTCGGGGTGACTTCGGGGCTCGGCAACGGAGTGGCGGTGGGCGTCCAGCGAGGCGATGCCGTGGAGAAGGACGAAGGCGCGGCGGAAGGAAAACGCGAGGAGGAGGCCGGAGGTTGGTGCTCGGCGCCGGCGGGCGGCGACTATCTCCGGGCGCGGGCGCTCTGAGAGG